CCCTGTTAGTTTTCAACGCTTCTGATATTCCTGCCAACCGAGTGAGGCGAAATGGTCATCTACTGTTGACATGTTGCCGCCTTCTATTACGGAAGCTTCAACGAGGTCTCGTGATGAACGTGAAGTAATTATGTATCCGAGACCTTCTAGCGAGCTCAAGAACTTAACAAATATGCGAATAAAAATCCAAGTCATTGAGATGATAGCTTTACAATATGTTATCAAAAATACAATAATGAGTTATATTAATGAAAAGGTCACTTGGATATACTGTTAACGTTCACTGTTGCAAATTATAATTATAATCCACAAAAGCGTTCACTTTTGGAATCGGATCTACTGGTGGAAGCTGTGTGCCGGTTGTACGATTGTCTTCGAATGAGGATAATAGACTACTGCAATGAATCCAAAGTATACCTCACGGTATGAGTCGAGTAAGTGGACAGTAATGACCAGTGCGAAGGCGAAGCTACCAGCAGTACGCTGTATTTCAAATTGTACTCGGAAGTTATATGTATTTGAACATGAATCGTCCTCAACAAAAATCATGTACAGTGTCTCTAATTTCTACATCTAACAAAAAGTGTAAAATCGTATTTTTGCGTACTCCACATATGATGGATGGTGACTAGCAGTGGAATCGAATTCTCGATGCACAACTCGCATGCTTCGAGACTCATCGTCATGATATGCCACTCTTTTATTGTTTCCTTAACCCATCCTTTCAAATTTGAACGAGTTATCCACTAGAACACATAGACCATGACAGCCACCAGCATTCGTATAACGAGCATGAAGCACATCGTGAATTCCACGGTTAGTCATCATCCACCGAAATACTTCGTGCAATATTTGTTTTGTGCCTGTGGAATAGTCAATATACCTAGGTAGAAAACATTTTATCATGTATCTCATATCTGTCTGATTCCTGTGCCAGGTTGGCGAAGTTCAAGTTAAGATGTGACATTATGTAGAAATCGTCTGAGAAGTCCAAATCTCGCATAGTCTGCTTAGCTAACTACCGAATTCCTCTCTTATGAATAAGCTAATTGATTTTTGAATCAACTCGTCTGTTCAAGTCATTCCATTACAGTCTGTAAAATACGTACGTGAATAAGTTCATGATTCTACTGACTATATAAAATAGTCTGAAAATTATCAAATGTAAATAGACCTATCAAATCATAGCACAAATGCTGTCCATCACACCGAATGAATGGTATATCAAAGGCACAATTGTGAAAGGAACAAACAATAACTTGTATGAACTGGTTATTATGTTGGAAATGAGGGAAAAGCAGCACATTTATACAAAGTATATGAAGCCTGTGTCATACGTTGCTGAAAAACATAAATTTACAACTATCTAACACCTTGAAGACTTTCCAGAGACACAAGCGTAAGAGAACAGGTGCATTGACAGCCTTCATGTAATCAGGATTAAGGAATGTTGTCAAGTTATCATGGTCACGACTATGCTTCCATAGGCATGGCCTGTCCTCTGTGCTAACGACACAACGATAACAAAGAAGACTTGAAGTTGAAGTGTATGTGACTGCACTCCGTCAAGCGGATGGTTTAATCGAGTATATTTCATAGTCTATCTCCAGACATCTTGACTGCAGTATTGAGTGTAAATCGTTAACCCATGTCAATCATGCATGAATAATGGTATAAATGTATCACTTGTCAGTAGGTGTTGTGATGAGTCATCTATGCAAAATTGAATTGAGGATTTGTAACTCATAGTTCGACTTCATCTTTATTCATGTAGCTAGCTCCTTATTTCACAGATGGTAAAATGTTTCAGTACTTCAATGTTTGGTGACTTCATCACGAGTCTTTTACTGACTATTTTGTGATGTTTGCAATTTTCTTTGCTCTTTTCAATATTATTTCATAACAACTCATTTCCGGCCTCAATTCCCTTAAATCATTACAGCCGTATTGATCGTTATATTCTGACATCAGTAGTCGCCATCAGTGAGATAATCAACTACGAGTAACGATAATATGTTGTGTAAGCTTGAGCTGACAAAGAAGGCTGCATTTCAAATTGAACGTGTCGAGAAATAACACACTATGCACGTGTCATCATCATCCTCATCGTCAATGAAAGTGACCAATGAATCAACTAGGATTTTTTCATCACTCACTCTCAACTGTGACATTAGCTGATTTCCGCTTCACATGCAACTGATTGACTCACATGATAACAATGAGAGGTCAAAATTAACAATGAGCTTGAATTGTATGGAGAATTTTATCAGTACATTATTCAGAATAATAATCGGTAAATACTGACAATCAGTCGCCTGAGTTGTACGATCTGTGATTTGATGGATTTGGTTGCTAAAATGTATTCAGGTCAGTGATTGAATGTGTCAGTTCGGCACGTTATCGTCTGTTCGAACGGAAGTCTATTTCGAATTTCGAACAATCTTATAGCAACCTGAATAATACTGGTTGATTATGAAATACCGTACACTGTCGTATGCTTCCATGAGTTTATTGGTATTGATGTGATTCACTGTTCCTTGAACCTCTTTTATCTTGTGCATTGAATCGTATCCATCACGCTTCGGTAAGATTTCGCAGTCAACCATGAATTCATGATGTGATCCACTACTTCTCTATTGACATCTGTCAGGCCAGTAGTCTTTCAAAGTTTTCTAAACAAGAGAGGCGTTTTGGTAGCATATCTCACCAGTTTTCTGCTGGGTTTGACTCAGCTTAAAAAAGCTAGTAAGACAGAAACTGATTTGCTCGAATGGACTTGTCTCTCTAAGTGAAGGTTAAGCAGGTACACCGCTGATGGGCACACACACCAATGAGCGAAACAGAATTTGTGTGTTAAGATCATATCAGTATATCCAGGTAGCCATCGAGCACTACTGGTTGATGTTTGTCTTTGTGTGTGGTATTCAACCAAGTATGTCAATCAGTCCGTGGTAAACCGTGTGATGCACAATTTAATTGCTTTCTGATAAGCATGTAGGGTATCTAACAGATCACATATCACACTGTGAATATGTTTGGTTTCTGAAGGTTATCATAATGAATGTATCACCTCGTCAAACTGTGTAGAATTGACTTGAAAATTTGATGAACTAAACAGTGAAGTTGCTCAGCATCTGACGAGTGATTCGCATACTTCATTTCATAGTGTCACCTAGCTTGGAGAATCTTCAACACATTGGAATCATGAATGACTGATGCCGTCTTTGGTTTGATCTGGATAGATGATTCGTCTTTTTTCAGAATTACTTTTCAGATACATTACTACACGCACAGCATGTAAATTAGGGATGGTGTATCCTACCTGTTCTCAGGTGTGAGTGTTTACTTGCAAAAATTTCCGAACCCTCATTCAGTGCATCTTCTAATCTAGGATCAACTTTATGAGTATACCAGTTAGTTCGTGTCTACTAGAATACTATTTATAGTTTGGTGTATTTATTCACCTACAGACAGAAATTGAAATCAGGTGACTCAGTGGGGAAACTCTTTTCAGCAAGAGTTTATGATCGAGTCTTAACGTCAAATATGATGTGTATAAAAAAGCTTTCTTCGGTGATGGAATTCAAGCATACATGTGCATACACGCAATAATTATATTAGTATGGTATGAATGCATTTCAAACTTTGATTTTTGTTACGTCATAATCATCGGTCAGTGTGCAGTGGCAAAGCAATTCATGTCACTAATAGATGAATTTCTAGGTTATATGGAAGTTGGAAAGGGAGTGAGGCTATGGGATTAGTAGGCAAAAAGGATGAAAACAAATGAGGCAATTAGCAATGTTAAACAGTTCTACTGATACAATTGGGATAAGAAAATGTTATTGGAAGTGAGTATGTACATGAGAAATGGTCGAATCGATCATGTCTATAAGAATGATGACAATCAAAGTTCCAGGAATTCGTTGACTTCCAGGTATTATTTTATTGCGGGTGTAGTCAGTGCACGTCTCAGTAGAGCTGAATACTACTTTGGTGAGAGCTGCCAGCAAGCCCATTTTAAGACCACAAATTACCTCAATGTTGACGTCCAGATTCAGTGTCCTGAGGAAAAAAATTTAAAGGCTGAAATTTTCTGCACGCAATTCAAATTGGCCACCGTACATAATACAGAAAATTCATAACCTCATAATAATCATTTGTTTTCAGGTCAATTTCGGTTTCTTAAACACGAGTTTGTTTCATAAGTTGATTCGTTATTCATCATTCTGCTTACTCTTAGACCATCGATCCACTGGGGTCCGACTCAATGACACATAAATTCTAAGTGTGGGTCCACACAGGTCAAGCGAACTGCCGAAAAGTTGAAAGTCACCTCAACACAGCTACCCAGTACCACCGGTTGGTTTTCAATGCATCTATTTTTCTAGTTGACTGACTGGAACGAAATGTTTAGCCTCTGTTCACGTGTCAGGAAGTACGCCAAAAAGAGGTCGGGTGATGAAGGTGAACTGACTGCGATGTCTCTTGAGGAACAGTGAATTCGAATCCACGATGCGAATTTCGCTCTATCTGGAACTCATGATTTGATGGTGTCTTCAATGAGACTCAAACTCAATGCCTGTCGTCAAGGCGTGCGGGCCATGACAGCCGTTGACATTCGTGCAGCAGGCATCAAGTACACCGTCTATACCTAAGCTAGTTGCCATCAATCTAATTACCTCTTGTATTAATAAGTGAGATAATGCATATCCCTGTGTAAAATAGATTTTCTAACGTATACCATACATCTTCACAGATAAAAACAGTAATCACAGCAATGATCCGCAATTTCGTTTTTGATTTTCTAAATATCGTCACTGTTTTGTGTAATGGCTTTTCCTCCAATCATGTTAAATCGATTATAACTGAATTATTGGTTTTCAAACAAGCAGTCGAATTCTGATTGGTTGGCGGAAGTAACCAATGAAGGGAATAGTGTCATGCGTTATGGGTATAAATAGTCGAACGAAATATTCTGTCAATATCAAATTAGTTGGTGACTATTCAGTGCACATTGCTGGTGAGTTCCTGTGGTATAAATATTCATATTATATGCTATATAATTAAGTAAAATCTCTTCATTCTCTTCACCAAAATGTGTTTGTATGAGTGTTACAGAGACGACATGCATCTCCAATCATGTTCATTCATCTATAGATAAGCCATGAAGAGTTTCGTCCACTGTGTGGGACACTCTCTTCAATTTTACTTAGTTGAGAAGAGATGACATTGATGTGGCAGAGGTTTGTGAGTACGTGTGTAGCACAATTTGTGGTTTCGTCTGAAGAACATGTTCAACTCCACTGAATACTGCATGTGATAAATTCTTCATGTAGCTCAGTAGTCAAGTTGCTGCTGAAGATTTATGGAGTAGTGAAGCACAAGCTGTTGAGATTAGATTCCTATTTTACTTGATTTAGTCAAGAATGTTAGCTTTCTGATCATAAATATATATACATATACATATATGGGCAGTGACATTCCAGTCACAACCATTCTGTCCCGGTGAATTTCAATAAAGACCGTATCTTTTATATTCAGACAAGTTTTTAACATTGTAGATGGAATTCTGAACAGCCTTGAGCATTCACATAGCACGTGAATAACACCGTAATGAGCCGTAGATCGAATCAAATCCAACCTACTAAGCGTGATAAAATTATGGTTGTAACTATTCCCAGGGGTTCTAAGTGCTGATAAAGGTTCGCGGTTGACTGTTTGAAGTGATATTGGTGGTTCCCTGGCACAGTTTCAGGCTCTCATACAAGGACCGACTAACTGACCCACTTAATATTGATGTTGAAATTTTACACCTCAATCACAATGCTCAGGTGTAGTTCGGATGACTTCAAAAGAAACTATCTTATTCTGTCATTTCTTTCAAATTACATCAAAGTAAAGCTTAATTCTGTTTTCTCTTTCCTATACATTTTCAGTAAAATGGTGTCTCAGAGGTCAAAACTAAACATCATCGTGATCGTTGGTCTGTGCATGATCAATTTAATGGGAATCAAAACAGATGAATACATGCTCCCAATGTCACTTGGTGGAGACGGTAATTAATATTTATTCTATGTATGTAAATGACTGAAATGAATGTGATATCACGATAGCGACAGATGATTTCATGGTAATCCTGAATCTTTCCATTGGTGACTGAGTGAACGACTGGCTCAATGACTGCAGGTTTAAAATATCTTGTATTCTAGTGACAGTTCGTGACAACTTCGAAAACATATCCTCACAGAGGTTGAGATTGAATAGTGGTGTTGTTGTATATTGCCTCCGGTCACCTGGACGTTTCTGTTTCCATTGCTCATGAGATGAAAGGTTCATCTGGTGTGGTAGTTTTACCAATCAACAGCAACGTATTAATGCCACACATCTCTTTATCCACAATGGAAAGCTGAGTGAAGGTTACTTTTGAAGTGGAATTAGCCGCCAGAAAGCACGGCCTGCCTGCTTTCATCCATGGTATTCCTCAATGTAATGGGCTGGTTTACGCGAGAGTCGTCAGTGTGGTGTGCGAGAATACAAGAATAGGCTGGACGAGTAAGAACACTCCGGGTAATATAACTGTACAACACGGCGTGATTTATCAAAATAAAATCTTATCCATAATGAAATTATGCTCTACCAGAGTGCCCAAGCTTTATCCATATATCAAAGTCATCGTATGGTTTAGATCGACTTGATAGAGCTTTCTTCAAATAATTCGAAAGCTAATTCACTGCGTTGCTTCTAATTCATGTGAAATATTTTTACAAACCGCTCATCCTGCACAAGGCGCAGGATAATATGGAAACCCGCATATGTTTTCATTCAATTGTCGACGCGGACATTAAATGTATGCACTCACCATCAATATATCGAATGGAAATGAACACGAACCTCAGTAGGGATGAATTTATCCGCTCAAGGTCCTGAAACAAATATACTCATATAAATATACAGCTCCCTTATTTGTTAAACACTCTGAGTTGTATATGTTATAATGTAAGGACTTGAATTTACTCAAGTGGCACCACATATAACCATAGTTCTGGAAACCGGCGATACACAGCGCCAATGTCGATCAGCTGTTTTGACAGCCTAGTTTCAGACTCATCGGCAGTATCGTTTGAAAATCAGGACGTGTGTGACACAGTGACTTGAATCAATCGCCTATGACTGCCAGACTACGTTGACCTTCGTTCGAATTTCAGTAGGTATGCACTGCTTATCGGCCTCAAAACTACGATGAAACAGTTGAAGGAACCCAGAAATCGGCCACTCCAATACAGTGTGATTGTTCTGTATTCAAAGTAAACTATGCCGGTTTCCTCTCGCCTCAGTACTGTTATCTCGATGATAAGGAAGACAATTTTACGTGTCATCCTTCACTTACTTCGCACGATGTTTGGATGAATTAACTGATTGCTATTGACATAAAATGTGCAACGATTACGTGGAGAACAAAATTCGGTATTGTTGCGTGATATGAATCAATGACTTGAAAATTATCTTTCATGATCTCTAACAAGCGAACTTTGAAACCTATTGGATCATCATATTATTATTTGACCTCATTCATTACCTGTGTCTACTTGTAAAGATTTCAAACCTTTGTTGTTAACCAAAAAATGTTATTTTTGTTTGTTTTAAGGAGCAAGAATTGTCGACTTTAAGGGGATCATATTCCCTTTGGACTCTGACTTCCAACTAACAGTTCAAGATGCGGACTGTACATATCAGGTTCAATACGATCCATTTGAACGCGATGATAAAAGACAAAGAAAGACAAGGCGTAACGGTACAAAGTGAGTCCTCTTTAATATAATAATTATGTGATTTTTGAAGCTTGAAGACAAATCGTTACATGTAAATCACCTGATAATTTTGATATAAATATGTTCACCGTATTCCCAAGAATACCAGATGCATTTTCGAAATAACCTCTCCTTCCATTGAAACATGAGGCCTTTTTTGTCGCTCTAGTCTTGTATCTACAGCATCAGACTTGTGGTGGCACATGTTATGACCAGTTTTTTTTCATTTATATCATACATCATGCAGCTTCTGTGATCAAATTTATACACAGGGGTGAGAATAATGATACTGAAAACAAGAGCAGTCATGGTAGAATAAATTGCAATATATGTGTTCATAAATTCTCTCACTACCGTGAAGCTTGTAATTTTTTCAATAGAAATCAACGTACCCTTTTAAAATGCGGGAGCCGCACACCAATGCTCACAGGAACTGATGTGCCTCAAAGAGCTTCACTAGGTCCATTGCTAACTTCGTTTTCCACGATCTTCCGTTTTCTGAGAGCAGAATAAATTCTAAGAGAAATTATGCCAGTGTGTGTGCAGGAAAATGTGAAACCTCAACCATACGACATTCGGCATGGTTCTCGCGTGAAGAGACAAATATCAGAAATGTGATTTCGAAGCTTCTGAATCAGCAGCTGAATTGCCGATTTCTATTCAGCTTGCTCTGCAACTGCTCACACCCTCTCATTTACTCCACTCGTACTGGCACACACAATATCCTCCATGTCAACCGCAGACAAGCAACTCATCTGGAGTGTCGGCCTAATGAGTGATATCACTCGACGGTGTCCAAAACGAGTGTTCGAGTCACTTTCTCTCCTCCAGACAAACTTGACCGACGACATGAATTTGGTTGTTGCTTTGCTGAAATTCGTTCCGACTAAAGATGACACTGTAACAGATTTAACAACTTCTGTGCAGGATAAGCACCACTTGTAAAGACATTATAAACACCAAAAATTACACAATTGCTTTCGATTCTAAAAATAGACCGTCTTCTATTATACAATCCATACTCGATCGTTGTATCTAAGAAACCGATTCCGACGAGTATTCATTACTTCATTTACACCTTTCCTCTCATCGTCCTTCCTTCTAGGAATTGTAAAAGTCAGCAATCCACAAGCCGTTAGATTATGGTTGTGTGAAATACGAAATTGAAGTTGCAGCGAAGTCGAACTTCACAGTCATTGTGTACCTGACAAAGACTTTCAACTGTATTTTTTCAAATGCGCTGTTTACCTGTTAGTAAAATGAACACGCTTCATCTTCTGAATATCAATTATTATTCTTCCTCTTCCTGTAGATTAGATATTCTCCAATAAATGCATGTTCAAAACCGTTTTTCTTATTTATGGAATGTTTTTTGTGTTGAGATAGTGGGTTAATGAATCGATTACAGTTCGTAGTGTGGCTTTCTTGTTAAGTTTCCATCTCTTAATAAGAGACACCTACATCATGGAATCGGTATCAAGCAGGTAGAATCCGACATGTTTATTGTATTGAGTTGTTGCATACACAGTTTGTATATGTGACAGGCAATTGCGTAGTCTTCGTTCAACGCTCATAAAAGCAGTGAAACATGTTAACAGTCGCGGCTCTTCTCGTAGGATTGATTTTCCCTGTCAGATGTACATTGGAATTTATACACATTTTTATATTTCATGAAAGAGGCTTGTGACATAAGTGATCAGCTGCTATAATCATAGTTGTTGATACGAGTTAATGCGTAAGAGGAGCAGATTAAGTGTATTTGAGTTACATGATAAGATGAATAATTCAGTGACTGGGGTGTGATCACAATGTACATAGAAGCAAAGGCAATTGTGGAATGATGTGAGAGTTAGTTGATAGAGTCAAAAGATTTGGAAGAGCTAGCAAAGAAACGAGAGTGAGATTGATAGAAAGCACTAAGATTATTCTCAAGATAGTGGAATTGGTGAAATAAATCGGTTTTCTTTGCATAGCCCAGGTCTCAATTTGAGTGGAGAACGCTTCAGTAAAGCAAAGGAAACTGCAAACTATTTTCTTCAGGTTATTCTTCACTTCATCGAGTTCTGATGTTGTCATTGTTATAATCTCTCATGTGAACGTTAAAATTACTTGGTGGAGGTGTAATTTGAACAGAAATGAATTTTGAACTGGTGCCACATTCCAGACCCCTCCACCAATCCTCACATACATCACACTTATACAGAAATTATATTCAATATCCAATCGTACAACACAAACGATATCCAATCCACAAAATGCATCTCGCCGAAACATTCAGTTAAATTTTCGTGTTCATTTCAAGTTCAGTGTTATCAGTAACCGGGTGCAAAACAATCAACGACTCAACATTAGTTTCGTCTGAACAGCTGTTTCGTCATTCTTTGTGATCGTTTAAATAGTGAATTCCTTATTTCTCACAAAGTAGTATCAAAACGGCGCGATCAACCTATGATGCAGTTTCTGGTGTTTGCCATCAGAAGCTTGTAAATAGTCATGCTGTGCAACAAACCCTCTAATATTGATTAAACGAATATCAATTCCTCAAGTAAATCACACTCCCAAGTGTATTTACTCAATCTAAATAACACTGAAAACAAGTGATTCAGCAGAGAGACTCTTCTCAACAAAGAATTTATTTTCGACCTGTACAATCGTTTTTCATGTGGTTTGGAAGAAACTGTATGCGGTTAGGGATTTCACTTATTTGTGTGAATACATTAGGTGGTAACAATATTCTTAGGAAGTACATTTCAAATTCAAATGATTGTCGTATCCTAAGAATCCTTCAGCGTAGATTGGCGAAACAATCCATGTCCAATATGGAACAATTCATATGATGCACAGAAGCTGGAATAGGTGTAAAAATTCAGGGTTATTGGGCAAAAAGAATGAAAATCAAAATATTGCATAACAATTTGTAAGATATGATAACATAGAATTGAAAACTATCAGGTTATGACAGTCAGTTACGTGTCACTTAACCTTTGCTTCTAAAATGTGTTCGGTCCTGCAATTGACCTATTCATTTTCCATCCCCAGATTAGTCCATTTTATGTGAAGAGGAAGATGAAAGTCATAACGGCGATCATACTAAGAGCTCTATAGAAGTTCAAATTAAAGTTCTACATAGATTAAAGTTATCTCAGTCAGTTTCGACAACAACATATTACCATATCGGTAGCATAGCCAAAATTAAAACAGTGTTTGAAGGTGTTAGAAAAGTAGATACTACTAGCATATTTGTTGGCGTAACCGATAGCAAAATGGTCAAGATATACAGAGTGTGAAAGAACGAACAAGAATGTTTTAAGTAGAGTTTGTAAGGAAGAGAGAAACAAAACAGCACATAACAGAAATAAATACAGAAAAAAGGTAGAGAGAAAAACGTCGTGCCAGAAAATGATGTGCTTTGGAAAGACGAGATCCAATTGTTCTACTGACTATTTAATAAGTTAAAGGTTTCATGCCTGATGCATTCTTTATCGCACAGAACACGGGCTAGGTAGGGTGTGGATGAGTTTTGTACTTACTAGTGCGTGCATATAGTTTCCTATATAGGCTTCTGGCTTTCCCTGAAGAGATACATGGGGAGAGCTGTGAATGTAGAGGGTGTTGTGAGTCAGATAAAATGGATTTCGACCATTTTTTACATGAGTCCATGTGCCTGTCCACCAGAATATTAACAAGCTGGCAAAGTGGAACGTTGCTTACCCTGCTGACAACCTTTAACATCCTACGTAATAAGGTATAGTCTTTCTTCAATAGCCCAGGAAAGACTAAGGGGGAACAATAGAGAATAATAGGCAGAATACGGAAGTAAACAAATGGTAGGAGTAAGGGTTGGGTTACACGAGAATGTCCTAACTTCTTGATGTAGAACGTAAGACGGAATATTTTCTTAGAAATCGTCAAGATATGAGTCGACCAGGAAAGATCAGAAGATAGAGTGGCGCCTAGGTACTTGATTTCCGACTTGGTTTCAATTTCAGTGCCATCTATGTTGCACACCTCGTGAGTGCTAACCAGTTTGTTTAAGTCAGATTTGCTCCTAAAGGTGAAATTAACTGTTTGGCATTTTGAGGGGTTTGAGGTGAGACCGTTTTCCTTGGACCATTGGCTGATTTCTGATAAGAAGCCATTTAGTTTAGAGCAGTCACTTTGACATTTGACAGGTAAAGATACAGTTAGGTCATCAGCATATTTGATGGTAGGTCATGTAGGAAGAAGGAAAAGAGAAGTGGGGAAAGTACGGCACCTTGAGAAGCAATCAGGATATTAGTTAGAGGAGAACATAAAGCATCGGCACATTGTTTTAAAACATATGTAGGTATGCCATCAGGGCCAAGACTACATGAGGCCTTAAGAGTTTTAAGACATTTTGAAACATCAAGAGTGTTAAAGTCCTGGAAGTTATCAGCTACAAGATTAGTAACGTTAGAAGTGGTTCTCTGTCTGTCTGGATTCAACATAGAACTTGGCACCGAAGTGCAGTTCGAGTTGCCACGTTCCAAATAGCACACAGAGGTAGACAAGAAGATGAGTGAAGAGAATCAATAGAGTTTGACAAGTATAAGAGTGAAACAGAATGGGTAATGGTAGAAAGGAATATGAAAGATTACAGAGACTGAATACATCTGCGCTGGCCATTGACAACGATTTTGAGCCATGTCACCTATTGTCTCCAGCCATTGATTCCTAGAGTCCCGAGGGCCCCAACCCGGGAGTCTGCATCTCCCTACCTGACTCAGTTTAACTGTCAAGGATTTCATGGATTGATGATGCCATGTTTTTGTTTGGCCACCACTGGCTCTTTTCCAACCTGAACCTATATCAGCTAGCAATGCCCGTCGGGGGAGGCGGTGGTTAGGCATGCGCAGCACGTGACCTAGCCATCTTAGTCTATGTAACTTTATAGCCTCGTCGATTGATTTTCCCTCTTTGCCCAACACTCTACGCCTAACGTCAACATTACTTATCTTGTGAAACCACCTAACGTGAGACAGAGATCGCAGACATCTATGATCGAAAGCAGTCAACCTTTTCATGTCTTCAACGCGTATTGGCCATGTTTCAGAGCCATAGAGAAGGACGGAGCGAACTGATGAGCAGTACACACGTCCCTTGGTTGATAACCGGATGTCACGCCTACGCCAGAGATGGTGTAAGTCAGCGAAAGCAGCTCGAGCTTTTCGGATCCGTGCTGAGATTTCATCGCCAATCAGTCCGTTGGTGCTAATACAACTTCCCAAGTAGGTGAAGTGGTCAACATGTTCTATCACTTCACTCCCTATCACTAAGTTAGGGTTGACGTGGTCCAGTCCTGTAGCAGCATCTTACATTTTGCAGGGGCGAATCGCATGCCAAACATACGAAGATTGCTGCTCAAGGTGTTCAGAAGACTCTGCATTTTGTCAGCATCCTCCCCTAACAGGACTATGTCATCTGCATATTCTAAGTCCATAAGATTATTCCCTGGTAACAAGTCGATTCCTAAGTCACTACGTTCAGTTAAGGATACTTCCATTAGCATATCTATGATGAAGTTAAACAGAAATGGGGAAAGTGGACATCCCTGTCGGACACCACTGGTTGTTACCAATTCAGATGACAATTCCCCATAAGCCCTTACACGACTACGTGAGTTTGAATAGAGTGCCTTGATTAGTGCAATGTACTTTCTTGGCACTCCCTTCACAGTCAGACATTGCCATAGTACCTTTCGATCCACGGAGTCGAAGGCCGCCTTCAAGTCAAGAAATATGACAATTGTTGGACGCCGAAAAGTGTGTCTATGTTCTAGAATCTGTCGAAGAGTGAAGATATGATCTATGCACCCTCTACCTGGTCTAAAGCCTGCTTGATTTTCCCTTGTCTGTTCCTCCCGAGTTCTGCTTAGTCTATGCATGATTACTGAGCCTAGGATTTTAGAGACTATGTTCGTTAGGCTGATCCCCCTATGATTATCACACGAGGACTTGTTTCCCTTCTTGAATATCGGTATAATAAGTGACTTACCCCAGTCTGATGGTACTGTCTCTGATTCCCAGACTTTGCCTAGTACCTCAGTTAATCTACAAACTAGTATGTCACCCCCATATTTAAACACCTCCGGAATAATTCCGTCGGGTCCTGCCGCTTTGCCTCGTTTCAAATTACTGATAGCTTTTGTAACCTCACCTACAGACGGCGGACCAGTGTCTATATCCCATTCGGGTGTGTGGTGGATGTGGGGAGGTTCAGTGTGGCTGTAGGCAAGTTAAATTGTTCCTCAAAGTGTTCTTTCCAGCGTTCAAGGCGTCTATCCTGAGAGCTAATTAAGGAGCCATTTTTCTCAGAAATAGTCTCACTTA